TGATACAGCCCCTAGGGTTGTTGAGAATGACCAGGCTAAGATTGACACACTGGCAAACGGGTGATGGCTGACCAACTGGACATATAAGAAGCCTCTGCTTGGAGATAGACGTAGCTATGCCAAGAGATAGAAACACCAGGAAGAAGAAACACAAGAGGCTCAAGAAATCCCAAAGGCTGAGAGAGGAAAAAGTGAGGATGAGGAGGCTGAAGGTGACAGTGTTTCCTGTTGTAAATGGATCAATCTGGGAAGTGACCCCTAAATTTAGGGAGTTTCCAGCAGATCCCTCGAAAAATGGCCAAGATCTCCCTCCAGAAGAGTCCCAGAAACAGCAAAGATACAATCCACACACTGCCTAAGCCCCTGTAATGATTCCCAGAGGAAAGTGTACATCCAAATAATCATTCCATCAACGAGCTTACATCAGATTTAGGAGAGTGAGTTATTGTGTCACACTGTTGTGTAAAGTTGTGTATCATCTGCATAAGGATGGCAGAAAAGAGGATGGGTTTCCACCCATAAAGTTAAATATTGAAATAAATGATGTGGAAACAAGGCTTTAGTGCAGACACCCCACCACTGCATGGTGGGTATCAAAGAAATCTGAATAAATTCAGAATCTTTCAATTCTGAGGTTATAATCCTAATCATGGAGTCATGACATATCCCACCCACTGTATGAGGAGCTGTGGGATCAAACCAAGGATTTATTACACATTTCTGTGTAGTAAATCCTGGTTTGGTTTCCATTGGCTTCTGGTTTCCCGTCTTTAATCTAGTAATATCTCAGTGTCCTTGTTTGTCCCTTTGTTTAGCTCTGTTTACTTCACATGCCTGAAGTGACCAAAAATGTCTGTGTTTTTAAAGAAAAAAATCTTTAGATAAATAAAACCCCAGAACATTCTGAGCATTGGGCTACTGGCCCTGAGCCTCGGTAGCTCGATCAGTCTCTGTCTGCTTGAAGTGGAAGCCACAGATAAAGTTTCACTAACCACGGGAGACAGAAGTTCTCTGTGTGACACAGCTGAAATCTAATGTTACATACCTTAAGATTAACACTGTGAAGCTGAGTGTGTTCTACTGTCAGCTCAGATGATGGTGGCAGCCATTAAAGAATGATTCAGTCAGGCGCCCCCCCCACGACGGCACCTACAGCAAGCACCTTAAAAGAAGAAAACCATCAGACCACATCTGTTTAACTCTATTAGTGCTCATCTGGCTTATCCTAAATGCCATTAAGAGACAAGCAAAA